GAGTTACAGCAAGAGTTCCATAAGGAGACCCTCAAGCATTTCTCCCAAAAAGGAGAAACCTTTTTACCCCCTCTCCACTCAAGAACCGTGTTTCTCCCCCAACCACAACTACAAGGATGGAGAGGTTCAGAGTTCCTACTAGGATAAAGGCACTCTTTTCCTGGAATAAAGGGAAAGCAGAACCAAGTGGTGTCTTTTTGTTGAAAGCATCCCAACTCGGATGATGTGCTTATCGACACTGTCCCTCCCCCCTGAAGCAGCCTCTCCCTGGAGTGCACTGGCTGGAGGGGATGATGGCTGCAGCCTGCCTACATAACCCCTGAATCTTGACGATGAGATCTCGGGAAGAACAACCAAGAGCCATGAACTAAACGGCTCTTGGTGCCATCCCAATTTGCTCTGATGCTCTAGGCAGAGGACGACATGCGGTGAAAAGCAGGCTTTGCTGCACTTAATAGCAATAGCGCTTAAGACTTATATACCACTTAGCAGTGCTTTACAGCCCTCTCCAAGCGGTTTAACAGTCAGCCTATTGCCCCCAACAATCTGGGCCCTCATTTTACCCACCTCGGAAGGATGGAAGGCTGAGTCAACCTTGAGCCTGCTGAGATTCGAACTGACGAACTGCAGCTAGCAGTCAGCTGAAGGAGCCTTCAGTGCTGCACTCTAACCACTGCGCCACCGCGGCTCTTAAATTGAAGAGACCTCGCTTCCCAAGGGTTAACGGCCCGCATAGCGAGGGATAAAAACTTTTAAAAGGGAAGAATAAATAGCTAAGAATGCAACCGAGGCGAAGTCCCAAAACCCACAGAACCGGCTAAAAATTCCAAGTGATTTCAACGATCGAGAAAAGCAAGGAAAAACAGCTAGCGAAAGCAAAAAGGGTAAGTTAAACAGATTTGCAGACACTGATTCTTTTTCCTCTTTTAAGGGTGGGAAGGCTGGTCTCCGTTCGATACAATGCTTTGGATTTCAACAAAATTCCAGCATTCAGAAAGAGTATCTTTATCTCAGCTAATTTTCTTTTGTGAAGAAACTTTGAAAAGTTTTTTTTCCCCTTCCCCCACAGAAGGGCAGTCTTCAAAACCTGGCCCCCAAAAAGCTTCAGACAGCAAGCGCCCCCAGAGGGTTCCTGGTGGGACCGCAGGAGAAGATTGTCAGCTCTGTTGGTCCTTGACAAGCAAGACGGTGTGCTGCCCTCCGGCTGTCACGGAGAGAACTCTGCGGTTCTCCAGCTGCTGGCCGGACATCTGAACAGGGCTCCAGACATCCTCTTCATCTCCTGTGGCAAGCTGGAGGTTTGACCCCATGCCCCAGGCAAAGGCGTGACCTATGGAGAGGTAGAGCATGAAGATCGAAAACACTGAGCAGCCATATCCTATCCAACTAAGACACACAGAGATGATTTTTTGGGGTTAGCGTATTTTTCGGAGTATAAGACGCACCGGAGTATAAGATGCACCAAGATTTTGAAGAGGTAATTTTTTTTAAAAAAAAAAGTTTTGCACTCTGCAGATCTCCCAAACCCTCTGCATGTCCATTTTCGTGAAGGGGTGGGGTTTCGGGAGCCCAAAAATGCTGTATTCAGTGTATAACAGTGGTAGTCAACCTGGTCCCTACCACCCACTAGTGGGCGTTCCAGCTTTCATGGTGGGTGGTAGGGGTTTGCTGTAACTCTGCTTTATAAATTTTATAAAGTAAAGTTACTTCCCTACTTTATAAATCACNATTTTTTTTTACTTAAATCATATTTCTTTTATCAAATTTAGTTTAATAAAATGAGTTTGGAGTAATTTAAAAGTTTTCTATTTATGATACATTAATAATTTAGTTTATTCGGCATGAAATGAAGCTTAGCTATGTCGCATGAGGCTGTGTATTCTGCAATATTGGGACTGCCGGTGAGAGGAGCCGCTGCTATGGGACAGAGATGACAGTTGCTCTTAAAAAATTAGGATTTAAATCGAGTTGATTTAAATCAATACTTTTCACTTATTTAAATCGTGGTTTAAAATGTGATTTAAATAGACTTGATTTAAATCAAATCCACCCTGCTCACACTCGCTAGCTCTTGAGTGTGATTTCCCACACTTAAATCACTTTCAACTGGAGCTTCAGGCTCCTGTGCTAGTCGTTCCCGACTCTAGGGGGCGATGCTCATCTCCATTTCAAAGCCGAAGAGCCAGAGCTATCCGGAGATGTCTCCATGGTCATGTGGCTGGTATGAGTAAACATTGAAGGCACACAGAACACTGTTACCTTCCCACCAATGGTGAATTCCTACCGGTACGGACCGGTTCAGCCGAACTGGTAATGGTTTGGTGGCATCCTGTTTTTTGCTTCTGCGCATGCGCAGAACATTTTTTATCATACTGCGCATGCACACACGCGCCCATGAGCAAACCGACAGTAGGGACTGCCGGAACCCTCCCCTACTTCCCATCAAAGGTGGTTCCTGTTTTTCTACTTGCATTTTTACATGCTTTAGAACTGCTAGGTTGGCAGAAGTTGGGACAAGTAATGGGAGCTCACTCCATTACACAGCGCTAGGGTTCAAACCACCAAACTTTCTGATGAACAAGCTCAGCCAAGTGCTTTAACGACCCTATAAAAGGATGCAAGGAAGATAAATCCTTCCATTCTCCACTATCCCATCAGAGCTGAAGAAGCTTCTTGGATGAGAAGCGAAACATCTTCAAAAGAAAAAACTCCAGTTGCCTCCTGAAAAAGCACCTTTGGGATAGAGAGGAGAACATTATATCAGGCAGAAAGTCTAGCATTATCTCTGAGGATAACAACAATCCATGCTGTTGTTTAGCTGGGAATAAACCCCACTGGATCCAAGTTATGATTGGTCCATCAGTCTCCACCAGTGTTTGTTAACCTGATAAGACTCCCAGGTTGGCAGGCCCACAGTTCCAATCCACTATGGCAGGGTCATCATCAACCCCAGAAAGATTAAGGGGACCATCCAAGAGGTTGATGCTATGATTAGTGGTAGGAGTACCAGTAATTAAAATAGCATTTTTTAAATTATCCTCTTATAATAAAGGGGGGGAGGGTTGATTAATAATCTAAATAATCTTAATAGGGGGGGGAGTCAATGAAGTGAGGAATTTGGAGATCCCTGCTCTAGGGGAATCATCAGGCCTGAGAGGGAGGTGCAGCCGGTACATTGTTCCAGGGCCCATGGAGCTCAAAGGGAGGCCATGAAGGGGAATTTTAAAAAAGATTTTGTTACAAAACCAATTTTTTAAAAAGAAAAACAATATTGGATGTATACTCCATACTCTATACTTTGTGTGTATAGCAAAACCGCCTTGCAGCCTTGTTTGACATAACCTTTATGAATATGAAACTCAGTGAAGTTATTTATGCAATTTATTGAATTTTAATTTCATTACTTATTAATTTAAGTTTGCAAGTTTCATTTCCCTTATGAATATATTTTCTCTTTCATTTCCGTTAATGAATGGTTATGAAACCTCAAAATTGTGGAGCTCAAAAATGCCAGAAAAAACAGAAACGTGTATCTCCATGTGTAGGTGAGGGGGGCCATGTTAGTTTTGTTCCAGCACTTAATAATCCTCTCCCTGGGAGTCATAGAAGCCCCTGATCAACCCCTCTAAAGCAGGGGTCTCCAAACTTGCTCTCCCAGGATTCCCCAGCCAGCATGGCCAGCTGAGGAATTCTGGGAGTTGAAGTTCTCAACTTTTAAAGCTGCCAAGTTGGGAGACCTTCTCACTCCTCTCTACAGCAGTGTTTTTTTTTTCCAACTTGGCCATTTCTAGACAGGCTGAATTCTGGTTGAAGTCCACACAGAGAAAGAAGGAAGGAAGGAAGGAAGGAAGGAAGGAAGGAA